GGTGTACAAAATACCATGTCCCACCATTGCTATCTTGGAAACAGTAAGAGATACGAGGTCGGTTGAATTAGAAAAGAGTAGCAATTTTTAGTGACCACTCCTCTATAATATATGTACCTATGTACCTCCAGCGTTGCCAAATAAATTGTTTTCGAGATATTGGGAAAAAACTAAAAATTGCTCGAAACATTTCACCCTGATATCTCGAAAACTATGAACTTTATCAAAAAAAGTTAAAGATAAAACAATATAGGTACCTATGTCTTTTTCTTGTCTACAAAACGCACTATCATTATTATTGTTTACCTTGGTAGGAAATTTATTTGTATCATGCAGGCATGATTTCGAGATTTCAGGCTGAAAAATTCATCATCAAACATATTTTTTTTTTGAATTTAGCCCTATTACGGCTCTGCGTTTCAGAGGTTCTTGAGTTTTTGCAAGAATGATTTCCTGTTTCCTGTATCTATAAGGTTGGTACTTATTCTTATATTCCGTATTCCGTAAGTTTTTAATCAAAAATCAAACCAATGCAAATATAAACAAGTTTATCACGTACATATTTAGGTATGTGATAAAACAAAAAAATACAATAAATTAAGTACCTACCTACCTACATAAACATTAAATAGAATAAGTACTAATAAATTACTAATTTAAATGCTGAAGATGGCCACCGTTATAACGTTTTTTTCCGAACCTTCAAACTGAGATCCTCGAAGTCACGAGGCGTGGTTTTATACCCCATTTCTAATATTTTTATGTCCTGGGGCACCATCTTGTTGAAAATACACTAATTTCTAAAAGAAATTATGAGGAACTTGTTTAGGCTATTTCTCAAAAAATTAAAATACATGCGTCCCGTTAAATGTCCATTAAAAAAATATGTCCCCACTACTTCAGTGTCCAGAATCCCATAGCAAAACCTCTCCTGGAACGCAGTTTCGAGATGAAAATGTTGATTCCCTATTGAGTCCAGCGGTAATGGAAGTTTTGATTCAACCATGCTGATGCATTGTTGCAAAAGCTACTTTCATCTTCATCGTGAATATTTAAAAAAAAAAAGAAATAATAATAGCTTTGGAAAACGATCCAATAGGACTATCAAACACTATCAAACGATTGAGAGTAGAAAAAGTGAAACATTTTAATTTGGGCGGACCAAAGTCTACAGTTGATTTTATAGGGTGGACAATTGAATAAATAGCCATCGATTTTACTGAATTTTCACAGAGTTCATTCCCACCGGAACCAAATCGATCTATATATTATGAAGAACTGGTATACAGAAAAATTTTGAAAATTTCACAACATAATAATGTCAATGAAGGCAACCCGGCTAAAATATTTTCAAGATGGTGGCACTTCCGGTTAAACCCGAAGTAGGCGTCAACAACCAAAAATAAATAATCCTGGTATTCCTTCGATCTGAACAAACTGATTGTGATCATATGAGGTTTGTTCATGAGGCGTCAAAAAAACAGCTGGGACCAATGAAATCGTTTTAAAACCGGATGAAAATTGTTTGAAACAAACCTCAAGTGACTTCGATCCGTTTGCTCAGATCGAAAGAATACACCGTGATACACCTAATATGTAGTATGGGCACTTTCCAAATTTCACCGATAAATTGACCGGTTAAATAAACCGGTAGCTGTCAAAAAATTCCGGTAAAAGTTAGGTGTAAGTCCGGTCACAAGATTTTTCTGATTCAACAAATGCATTTTGGAACCCTTTGGTGTGTTAAAGTTTGGTTATGACGGTTGTGTTGCGACAATTTAACGAAAGACTGCCCATTCAAAGCAATTGATGTAGGATGTAGGTACATTAAAAAAAAAGTGTCAAAAAATTTCCAGCCGAAAAACCCGATAAAAATTCCCGGTGGATCCGCTGCCTCACCGGTTTCAAACAGCTGATCATTCCGGTCAACTTTGGAACGGACGATACTGGTTCAACCGGTAAAAAGTTGATACATTTTGGAACGGTTTTGTCAGTGAACTATTAAACCGGTATCGCATACTCAGAAACCGGTGAATTTTGGAAAGTGCTCTATGTATCTTTCGAGGCGGGTCCTCATGTGCGTAATTGTCGCGTAAAAGCGTAACCGCATATTTACGCGCGTTTTAGCATACACGTCCTAAAGCAACACGAGTTTACCATAAAAAAACGAACAAACTGCTGCTATACCGGAGGCATTTATTCATTCCGTAAATGTATATGGCACCTAGCACAATCCCATTGGTCAGATTTAAAATTTAAACCAATTAAACTTCGAGTGCCATACGCGCGTACGGAATGTAAATCAGTGTCATATGCACTTACGGATTGTAATATACCTAGTTATGCGTTATGCGCTAGCAAAATCACGTCTCCAGCTGCCAAATATCCTGTTTTATTTTTGTGACTGACGGGCTTACATAGGTAGGTCATAGAAGTAAGTTCGGCGTTATGTCCTATCTTTCGATTCGAATTGGCAGTCATTGCTTCGCCGACATTATTTCCAGATCTCTTGTAGATGCTTGTAGTTACTTCGGTGTTTGAAATCGCCATGCATGCTGCGACAACGTTGCTACCTTTAAATTATAAATATTTTGAACAGAGACCTGGAAAATATGGAGCAAACCTAATGACTGAAAATGACGCTAGAAGAAAAAAATGTGTCTTTTAGAATGTTGTTGATCTAATGCTTTTTCAAAATAGCTAATTTGGCACTTCTAGTTCACTCATTTTGTATAAAGCTTTCTTGTTTTGTTATATTATTCAATAAACATATTGACGCTTTCCGCTTTCGCTCTGATACTATGTATATTTTCTTTGTTCACCGAAACTTAGATTGATACAGCCGCATGTTTGTAATGTAATGTAAAATAGATACCTATAGTTGAAGAATAATTGACGCTTAACTCGTTTTCAGCTTAACAAAATTTTCGGCTGCAATAACTAGGTATGACATTCCGTAAGTGCATATGGCACTGATTTACATTCCGTACGCACGTATGGCACTCGAAGTTTAATTGGTTTAAATTTTAAATCTGACCAATGGGATTGTGCTAGGTGCCATATACATGTACGGAATGAATAAATGCATATCGGAGTGTTTGTTTTTGTTCAGAAAGTTGATTTATATTTTAATTTAACATACATAAAATGTTTATATTGTTTATCATCACAAAACCGCCAAAAACAACAAAAAGTCACGGTTACGTCAAAATTACGCGAAAAAGTTGAACCGGTAGCAACTTTTCGGCGTATCTTGCACGTAAATTTGACAGCGCAACAAACATGGCGGCGCAAGACCAATCAGATCGCTGAACGCCGATTCGTTGGCGTAAAATTATGCACATGAGGACCCGCCTTCAAAATAAGCAAGTTGACGTCCAAGGATGATACACACTACTACTACAGGATGGCCTATCCTCATAAGGCTTGTGTGTAACAAATCCCTCCCTTCCCCCCCAAGCCAAATTACCAGTTGTGACGTAGGCAGCATGTTATTTCTCGCCTTGACATAGGCTATTTAAACAGCTGACGACTTAGTTATGACTTCGGAAATGGTAACACACCAATATGGCGACGATTATCAAAAACGAGGCCGAAAAGCAATTCTTGTAGATGTGTATCATCCTTGGTTGACGTCTGCTTGTGGTATAACCAATGAACTATAACCAAAAACTGGAATGCGTACACATATTGACGAACGTGAAGCCTAGTGCCGCTGCTGCGGAGGGGAAACCTGTTTCTGTCGCACTCATTATGTTAAATGGCGGAAATTGCTTCCAACACGTATTCCAATTGATGAAACCTGTGAAGGAAAATATGACAAATCTTTCGAAAACGTCATATGTCAGCGAGCAACAGAAAAAAACAACATTCCCCTTATGGCATCTGTCTTTCATGGCTACATTTTTTTGGCAGATATGGCAATGTGTGCGCATTCCAGTTTTTGGCTATAGTTCATTGGGTATAACGTATAACCGGAAGTGCCACCATCTTGAAACTATTTTAGCCGGGTTGCCCTTTCATACTGTCAAATTTTGAAAATAATTTTTTATACAGATATATAGATCGATTTGTTTCCCGGTGGGAAACCCTGTATATAATCCCAGTTATGTGTAGATATCGAGTCTTCAAAAAAAAAACAATCAAATATTGCTATGAGTCAATTAAAGGCGATTAACCAGTCGGTTATATCCACAGATGAACAATGCATTTACCAATGAACTATAGCCAAAAACTGGAATGCGCACACATTGCCATATCTGCCAAAAAAATGAAGCCATGAAAGACAGATGCCACAAAGGGGAATGTTGTTTTTTCTGTTGCTCGCTGACATATGACGTTTTGGAAAGTTTTGTCATATTTACCTTCACAGGTTTCATCAATTGGAATACGTGTTGGAAGCAATTTTCGCCATTTAACATAATGAGTGCGACAAAAACAGGTATCCCCTCCGCAGCAGCGGCACTAGGCTTCACGTTCATCAATATGTGTGCGCATTCCAGTTTTTGGTTATAGTTCATTGGCATTTACCGTCATTTATTACCGATTGGTTGGTTTTTTAAAATACCGTATTAGCAATATTTTTCTACAATTTTGTCAATGAACTTTAATGTAAAAATGTCATGTCAAAAATCCTGACCAATAAAGAAACAATAAGGCGACGTTTCGTAATCAAAGCAATCTTTGATTGTTTTTTTTTTTTGAAGACCCCATATCATGGTATAAAAAATCCATCCGTTCGGAAATTGAACTATTTCTACCAGTGTAGCGCCGCCGCCACTGAACATCGCGAGACGTAAAAACCACGTGGCCGAGCACGTTGATTTGTTATCATTTTGAATTTGTTTTCCTTACCTGTCCGCTAGAGCGCGCAGCCTGTATTTCACAAATACCTTATTGGTCATTCGCCTTCCTTTAATCCTGTCGAGCATGCGCGGGAAACTTTTCAAAGAGAACAAACGCTCACTTCATAAAATAAAGTTGCATTTAACCTCAACCAACGTTACCCGACGACGAGTGAGCGGGACGGCCGACCTCGCTGTTCTCTTTAACCGTACGCCAAGAAGAACGGAATAAAATTTCGTTACTTTTTATAAGTGGAAAACTAATACTTTATTGTGTTCGGTGGATCAGGGTTGGATTAATAGACAATTTAATTGACAACTTTTAAAAAAACAAATTTTTAACAAGGCTAGTCAATGAAAATCTGAATGCAGCATCCACAGGTGTCTCGTTGAAAAGTTTTCAAACTTTCTGCATTTACGTTTGCGTTTCGTGGCGGATTATATATTATTGTGCCCTGTGAGAAAATCCTGAAATGGTATTTGTAGTGAGGACTTTCCAGTGAAAAATGTGTTTGAAGTGCCGCTGAAAAGTTTTGCGGAATGGTTGATGACGGATGTAAACAAGGTAAAAAGCACCGTTTAATCAACATGGAAGAAAAGGAGCGGAAATCGTTGGGAAAGTTGTGTAATTTTATGTTCGGCATTGTCCTCCTCAGCTTGATGTTTCAAACTACACTTGCAGGTAAGCTTTTTATATGTTTTCAAAGTTTGAAGTTTTTTGCGACTGTCTATTAAACAGTTCCAAAAGTTTTTATTGTTCCTTCATAAGTGCCAAGAAGATCACTTTGTTTGTTGTCTATTTCTTCTATACCTACCTACCTACTATAATACCGTGACCTACCCTACCATTTGACAAATCTTTTGTTTCTCCGAAAGTGCCGAAAGTCACCCATAACTGTAAAAGTTTTTTTTGGATTTTGAGAGTGAAACCTTCATTCAATACTTACTACTAATATACTCAAGTTACTTAAGTAGGTACATATGTGACAAAAATGTCGCTGAAGAAACTTTGAAACTCGCTTTGAAAATTGCAAAGCAATAATTAAGTAATGTTGAATGACTTTTTCAGCAAAATCGAATATTTAAAAAAGATAAAAAAAATGGGTTTTTATGTGGGTAATGATACTTGCATGCTACCATGAAACTTTCCACTTTCCATAGCAATATTGTGTTTTTGCAAATGAAATTGCTTTATCTCGATCTGATATTGCATGTGTGTGGGGGTCTCGCGAACTCAATGAAACAATTATCATTACTATGACATGACTTTGCTCCAGTTCCCATCAAATCTTGGTCATGAATAATGCGATTCTTGAATATTTGACAACTCATCATTGCGTTTGTCATCATCAATGAATGTATCTTTGAAAGAAGATGTCGATACAAAGGAAATTCTCGGCTGACGATTTTTTTTCATTCTTTCCACATTAGTTTCTTCATCACAAAATATGCATAAGTTTTGAAAATCAAAATCGGAGCCAGGACTGAAAGTTGCACTTTTAGTATGAAAAGCACAATAATCGTCCTTTTGAACTTCGATGAAATCAGCGCCACGAAAAAGTTCCATTTTGCCGTCACCTCGAGCATTACTCCACGAAATTAAACGAATTCCCGCCATCCTAGGATTTTACAAAATTTCACACGTCGTGATATCCCTTAACAAATCACTGAAATATATTTGTCGCGTTTCGCTGCCAGGAAAACTGGTCAAATACTCATAAATCTTTTGAGAATATATCTATGAAAATAAAAAAGAGTAGGATAATTATATGGTCCTCATTTATTGAATGAAATATTTAGAAAATTAAATGGATACACTGAATAACAATTCCGCCAAGCATTTTGCTACATTGTTATAAGTGGATTTTATAAGTTGTAAGTTGAACAATCCCAATTACAACATCAAACAAAGTAGGTACCTAGGTATCCATTTATATTTCATTTATTTGGGAATTTTTTGACAAAAACTTTTTTCCACCTTTTTTCTACCATAATAAGCTCAGAAGGGTGGCATTAGATTTTCTACCCCTTATTTATAGCTTAGAACTGAAGCTTTACGCACAAAAATGTTAATCTGCTTTTCAAAAATAAGCATCAAACTATATTGCACCATAACTATCATATTATCTACATCTGATGATATGGAACAAATGTTGAGTGGAGAGGAAAATATAAGAAGGGAGGATTAAAAAAAAAACCATAAGAAATAATTATTCGAGCTAAAGTTTCACTGTTTTAATTTCTATCCAAATCAATTTCAAAATCAATCAAGGAAATGTATTTCAATTTAAAAATAATTAAAATTTGCCGCGATGCCCTTTTGAAATTTGAAGGCAGGTTTCGAATTTTGTCCTTTGACTTTACTGTTATAAATCAGCTACCTGATTGAACCCCATTGTTCTGATCCCAAAATCCTCAAATATTAACTGCCCGCCCAGCCTGAAAAGGTTGCAAATTTCAATTTACGAGGTTTTATGGCCCAAGTGGCATTGAAGTTTTAGTGCAGTCGAAAAGTAATTGGAAATATTTGGAGATATTTAATTATAAACAATAAACATTATCTTACTAGTCTAGATTTTCAGTTTCAGCCACCCGCTAAGTTCCTACCTCCTAACATGAATTTAACATTTGACGTTTCAGTGAGCTAAACTGACTCAGTACAAGCTTCATTAAAGAGTTTGTACTGGTCTACGATGCCCCTATTTTCCTCTTGCCTAAATCGTGATGGGGGGCTGACAGTTTGATACAGCTCATGGAAATTGCCAAAAGGACGTGTAACCGAGGACGTAACTGACAAAATTTGTAGGGCCAATGACCGTTTGCACGGGTTCCCCTCAAAACTCACTCCTACGTAAGTGTAACCCCCGGTGTAGCCTAAATCTGAGGTGTACCCTAATGATTATTTCATTTTTGAGGGTTTCCCTTGTCCAAATTTAACCTAAAAGGTAGGTAAAACCGGCAACGTTTCAAAATATTAGTACTATCAAGGAACATATCATGTTATAGTAATTTTTTTGTCAAACTGCTCGAATCATCCTCTTTTTACTTATGTACGGTTTTATAGTTTCCCTGTTTAGTTCGTGATACCTATCCATAAATTCACTGCTCAGACCATTGTTGTAAACCCTTTAGGGAAAGCCCCTGTAATGTTTGTGATCAATCTAACTTTTTACTGACCTGATCAACTAATCCAAGAGAATCAAATCAAACCTGAACGAACTATCAAAAACAAGACACAATCCGACTCTACACAAGTAAATCGGATTTTTTTTGATAATATCATAGGGTTTCTCGAGGGGTTTCTTTCCGGCACGCAAGCAAAATAACGGCATTTCATGGAAAATATGAGTACTTGAAAAGTGACAGCAACGCGAATAGTGCAAGATAAATGTAGGTATTATCACTGACCCACTCCCCCCTCTAATGTAACATGTTGAAGAACAGTAACGCCTCATCGTCTAGTTATCTTTTCTTAAATAATTGAAATAGGGTCCTAAAAGCTATAGGGGGTCTTTAAAAAAAAAAGTCCTTTAAACCAACAGAATACCATTTGGCAGTTTAAACCATGACATAGGATGATCCAAATAGGATGTTAGGTATTTATTTCTACATCAATTGGTATGGTGGTATGTAGTATTTTGTAATATCTACGTACATCAACAAAAAATAAATAGGAATGGAAACAAAATACTTTTATTAAAACAATGCAACATTAAAATCAGATGCTTCGATACAAACATTACAAACAAAACGTTTTTCTTTTAATATCCATAGAATTTATCAAAAATTTAAACTTCCTTTCTTATTTCCTTTGAGAAAACGATTGCATAGTTTAAATGGATCTATAGGAAAAGCTTGAAGAAAAATAACTTTTTTTTTCTTAAAAGTATCTCATCATCTAAAGGAAATTAACAAAAAAGGTTTCCTTTCCTTGTGTTATACACATTATTATTTATTGAAATTCAATTATTAGGAATTCCTACACTATACTTCACTCAAACGATAACTTTTACCTACAATGTCTACCAAAATTGATTATAAGTTGAAAAGTTTTGATTGGCACAACTTTCACGGTTCAAACGCCGAGGGCGCGTCCACGATGCCCTAAATAATTGACTTCGTGGTACAGGGAGGAAATCATATTTCCGATCTCCAGGGTTTATTTTCAATTTCGCCTTCGAGTTACTAAGCTATTTTGCCACTCTATACTTTCTACGTATGTGTAGGTATGTGTGTGTGCAGAAAATATTTTCAGCCAGAGCGGAAAACACAAAACATAAATAAACCTTCGCGTAAGCTGGGAAAGCTTCCAAGAAAAGCGCTAAGACAGCTTCAACGTAACCGGGTATATTGGTGATGGCATATAATTTAGTTTCGTTATTTTTTTGGATAAAATATAAGCAAGTCTCTTTGAAGAAACAGACGCAAAGAATCTATATAGAACGCTATAGAAAATCTATAATTTTATTTACTCAAGAGGGCTCCAAAGTTGACAGTCTACCAAAAAGAGGACTTTATGGAGGATATACTATAAACACTGCCAATTTTGGCATTCTCTTTAACTCTGGCATTTTCTCAAGTATTAGTTACTGAATTATCTGGGCTCTAAAAAATTCCATCTCAGATCTATCCCAAACTTATATTGACACTTTATTGTTTTGTCGTTGTCTAAACTAAACACATAGGTACACAAGTCTGAAGGCTTTAATCGTGCATGTATCCTTTTCGCTGTCCATTTCCCCAGAGTCGAATACAATGTAAACTCCGGATTTTTGAGAGTTCTTATTCATTCATGAAGTGTATCGAGCTGCCGATGCCGCGCCGTGCAAGCGTTGATAAAATTTTAATCAGATATAGGCTTCAAGCTTCAACAGTCCCTATAACTTTCAGCCGGACTTCGACGAAAAGTTTTTATTAAGCTCACCGATTAAGCTGGTGCGGTTTCACTTATAAAGACGCCCCTGAAGAGAAGTTTTTGAAGTCGGGCCCCGCGGGGTTTCCAGTAAAAAGAGAAAGAGCTTTTTTCGAGTTAACCCGCTGAGATTTTATTGTTTTACACGGTAGGAATTATTCTGCGTCCTCTGGAATTTCGGACAAAGAATAATAGAATTGAGTTTTTTTTTTGTTAGGTCGATTCTTATGAAAAGTAGTAAAAGTACTAGGAAATTGGAAATGGCTAGTGAACATATATAGTATAAAAGCGATTAACTGCCCTGCCCCAATACCTAAATCATCCTTCATTTTACATGGTAAAGCGGTGGAAGTTGTCAGGTATTTGAATAAATGTACTTTCATTGTCTTTCATGTGATAAAAATAAAGTATCTATTTTCATAAATTCATGGCCTATACCTACACTGAAAAATTTAGATTTATCGCCTTCCAGGCCCTTCAGTGGTTTGTAGCATTGTTTTATTTCTATAACCCATTATTTATCGGCTAATTTTTCTAATATTTTTTTATTGTGCTCAGACCTGTTAATCAGGTTCTATCATTTAATTTCTTAGAAATTTCACGGATATCTCATATTGTATGCCCTGTGGAGTTTCTTGTTTTCAAAATGCTGATCGCTGATGATTTAAAGGTTTTTGTAAAGATCTGGGTAAAGATGTATGTATCAACTTTTATTTTCAAAAATTATTCACAAATAATTTTTCCACAATAGGCCATGGTGTGTCTTCATC